ATAATCTTTCATTTACCTTAATGACAAGTCAATTTTACCAACAAACATTAATAAACCTTCATATATTAACATATCATTATCAAACACATTTTCTTTAATCTCTAATATTTCATTTATAACTTAGTTTTAATCTCTTCTAAAACTTTATTAAGTTTCTATCATATGCAAGGATTTGATAACTAACAAAAATTGAAGGAATAATTCATAAATTTGGAAACTTACCTTTAGCTAGGGTAAAAGGCTTTTCACGTAAAAGAGGAAGAAGAAGAGAGTGTTTGACTTTCTTTTTCATCCTCTCTTTATTTCTACTATAATAAATGAATTTTAAATTCATTTATATCAAAAAACCCATAAGTGCCCTTTGTAATCTTTCCTCACTACAATTTAGTCTAGACTACTATTCCCACTCATTCTCATCTTTATCAATTAATCAATTTAGTCCTCCATATTTTAATTCCTTTCAATTTAATCTTTATCCTATTATTTTGGGTATTACAAGCTCTAGTTCTTACTGAGATGGATGGACTAGAATTACCCTACCCAATAAATTTCGATGCGGTTAAAAGGTATTTTGTCTGAATGAAAAAAGTAGGGTCCAAGGATAAAAATCCAAAAAGGATATCTTGGAACCAAAGGAGGTCTCAAGTTGAAAAACCATAAAGGCATGTTTGAAAAAGATCCTGGATTCATTGTATAGATTGAGAGATTCATGTATGGGGTAACAACATCAAGTGTTGTTCAGTATTATGATTGAAGATTAGTTTCAGTACTGGAGATTTGGCAGTGAAAGAAGGAATTTTACACCTTTATTACAATCTCGAGATCCTTTTGACAGAAGCTACACTTGAGCCACTTTGCGACGTGCCAGTTCAAAAGCATTTGTGCTTTTGATGTTTGAATATGCCTACTTCTTTTTCTTTTACATTTTTTTTCAGTAAAAGTTTGCAATGTAGTTATTTTAAAACTCTTTATATGAATAAAAGAGACATTTTCTTGTTAACTCTCCTTTTTGCAAGCATCTTGCTTTGGAAATTTAAAACATGTTTAACTTGAAGTACCTGAAATCATGGTGTATTAGTGTACAAAAAAGTTTTTGAAAAATGCAAGTATTTTGAGGATGACAATGATTTTAGCATGTGATGACATGATACATAGAAAATAAAACATTGAAGTGTATAAAAAATTTTAGATATTTAAAGATGATCTGAAATATTTGTCACTAATTGAGTGGTTTGTCATTCGTACTGGTGGAGTTCAAGAAGAAAAAAAACTAAGATCGTGTTCGACCAAAGAATATGGGATCAAGAAGTTCAGCTGGGATAAAACGGTCATGTTTGGTATACCCGAAATGAAACCGAGTCAAAGATGGACAACAAGAGAGGGTCTTCATTTGAAAAATAAAATACCCTAAAATTTCATCATCGCACACATTTTTGGCATAAATAGGACCATGAAATTCGTAAATGCATGATAGCATATATATAATAACCACAGGTTTCTCAAAAGAAATCTGAAAGTTGAAGATACTAAAACTCCAAGATAGGGGTAATCAACTCAAAATCCCTAGAAAGAGGGATATCCAAAGATTTTATGATTCTAATCTCCACGAAAGAGTAGTGGAACATGTTCTTCTCAACATTACAGATTTGGTCTCCACAGAAGAGTAGTGGAAGCAAATCAATCTCAAGTTTGATCTTCATGGAAGAGTAATGGAACAAATTTTTTTCAATGCAAATCCAGCATTTACAGAAAAGTAGTAAAGCAATTCATCATTTACGGTAGAGTAATAAAGCAATTCAGCCTTCACAAAAGAGTAGTGAAGCAATGCAATCCAACCTTTACAGCAAAGTAGTAAAGCAATTTAGCCTTCACAAAAGAGTAGTGAAGCAATGCAATCCAATCTTTATAAAAGAGTAGTGAAGCAATGCAATCCAACCTTCACAAAAGAGTAGTGAAACAACGCAATCCAATCTTCACAAAAGAGTAGTGAAACAATGCAATCCAACCTTCACAAAAGAGTATTGAAGCAATGCAATCCAACCTTTATAGAATAGTAGTAAAGTAATACAACCTTCACAAAAGAGTAGTGAAGCAAAGCAATCAAAGCCTTCACATAAGAGTAGTGAAGCAAATCAATCTCAAGTCTGATCTCCCCTAGAAGAAAAGTGGAGCAGATATCCCATCAAAGTATGAAGTCCACTGGACGAAAACTCCTTGTCCTTTTATTTTTGCTCTATTCTTATTAACACAAAAATAAGTAAATATGGTAGTTGTCGTCAGTCATTTTCGTCTGGACTTATATTATTATATTATTATATTCATTTTTATATTATTATTATTATTATTATTACAAAACTCGAAGGCCTAGTTACAACAAAACCCGAAGGCCCAGTTACAACAAAACTCGAAGGCCCAGTTACAACAAAACTCGGAGCCCATTTTACAAGGTCAACTCTCACCAGGCCCAGAATCGAACCAAGCCTAGAATCGATCCAGGCCCAGACCAATAAGCAGGCCCAAAAGGACAAAATAAAGACAGGGTTTTATACATCTCAGCTCCAGCCACCGCAAGTCACAACTGTTGGATCTGGAGAGATCCAACGACCCAGATGGAGTTTCCAGAAACCCTAGGATTTCATTACAACCCTAGGGCTATTCCGGCTGCCGCCATAGCTTGATGATGAACTCACTGGCACCGCCTTCATGTGCTCCAACCAGCAGCCGCCACTTCACCACTGAATCTAGGAGATCTGGGTGCATTTAATGCACTAAGCCTACTAACCACACACCTCACTACCCCTAGGGTGAGTCACCACCGTAGCTCCGATGACTCATCTAGGTTCCCTCTATTAACCGATCTGAATGATGCATCAAGGGGGCATATAAAAGGTTGTCGAACCTGCAAAGGAAAAAGGATAGGAAGCAAGCTACGAAAACAACAACCAACCCACAAAAAATTGAGAAAAACCGAGAAGAAGAAGAGCCTTACCCTTGAAGCCTTGTCCGTCATCAGAAGCTACAAACGTCACCGGAGAAAAGATTTTTTGAAGGTAAAATTTGTAGATCTACTTTGGTATGATAGTTTTCGGTTGAAAACAAGGTCGGATTTAGGTTCAGGGGAGAGAGGGCTTTGATTCGGGGTATTTTGGTGTTTTCGGCGTACGGTGGCCGATCGGTGGTTGTATTCCCTCCGGTGAAGGATTTTAGAGAGAGACGAAGAGAAATTTTATTTCTCTCTCTTAGAGATAGAGGAATTGAGGAAATGAGAATAAGAAGGCCTTTAGGGTCAGATGTTGGGGATTTATACATCTTCCCAAATGATGCCGTTTTGGGGAGGGGGTTTATGTGTAATTCAAAGATGGGAAAACCCCTTGCGTAGTCCTTCTGATTTTGTAACATTTCAATTTAGTCATTAAAATTGATTTTTGTGCATTCCAATTCGGTTTTCAGATTTTATTTGTTTTTATTTTAGTCGTTAATTTCATGTATATATATTTAGGGTAAAATATTCATTTTAATCCTTTAGATTTTAATAAGTTACATTTTAATATCGATTAGTAATAAAGGTTAAATTTCACTGTTAGTACTTACATTTCATGATATTTCGAATTAGGACTATTAATTTAGATTTTTTATAATTTAATCCCTGTAATTTTAATATTTAATATTATTATAGGATTATTTACACTTATAGTACTTAATATATTAGTATTTGTAATAGTAACCTGGAACTTGCTATTTTCATGTTTTAATCATTAAAATCAAATTTGTAAATTTTACTGCAAAGACAATTAATTAATGAACAACGGTACTAATTTTGGGCATTGTAGGGGTGCTAATCCTTCCACATACGTAACCGACTCCCGAACTCATTTTCTGGTAAGCTTACCCTTTTTGTGTTGTTTTAATAATACTTTTATAATTTTATTAAAATAACATAGCATTTTTGTGACCAATCACACATCGGTAAATGATTGGTGGCGATTCCTCAAATTTGTGTTTTATCTTATACAAGAAAATAAACGCTTACTTTTTTTGAGACGAGATTTAGAAAGCAACGACACTTTTTTTTTACCGGGCGAATACCGTTTCGATAATGAGGATTAGGCACGATGACCACAAGGATAGACTGTGGGTGTTGGGTTGCTATTATACCCCTAGTATTTTGAAATTCTATTCTATTCTAAATTTTTTGTTTGTATTTTTTATTGATTATCTAATTTCATATCTTCTAGAATTTTATAACTTCATACCTCTAAATTTTTAATATAACTTCTTAAGTTCCCCTCACATAAATTTTTGCATCCGTCCTTGATGACCACATGTAGGTGACCTAACCACTTGTTAGGAATTTTAGAGACATGTAAAAAAAGTACTGTAACAAATTTTTAATTATAGAGGAGTAATTCTCAATCGATTTAACGATGTTTTAACAAATATTATGTAAGAATTTAGGTTGTTGAAGACTTGGTGGTAGTGCTTTAATAGAATTTTGACTTACGAAAGAACTCAAGTTGTTGAAGACTTGAAGACCAACACGTGAACAAATTTTTTATGAAAAGGGAAATTATTAGATATTGACTCAAATTCTAATTGATAATTAAGTTAGATTTTATTGTATTCTAGTTGTTAGAGATTACTTGATAATTAAGTTTATTAAATTAGTAAATATTTATTCTAGACAATAAGTTTTATGGAATTGAACATAAATTGGGGAAAGAGCAAAAAATTTCAAAAAAAATAATACAAGGACTGAATTTTACAAAAATAAATTATATGGACTATTTTAAATGTTGAAATAGTGTAGGAACCTTTAACATATTTAAACCTGTGTTTGATAATCTTTACCTGTAACCGGGACTTCCCGGTTTCTTATGCATTTATCCTTGCGATTTGTTTCAACAGTTCATACTCCTATTTTAATTGTTTTAATCTAACGGTTAATATTGCTTTATGCTCATGTGGAGCTCTTTTTAGAGAGCTCTTGTTAGAATATCCCTTTCTTATCCCTTGCAAATAAACAAGGAGTCGCAAACCCGAAGATCAATTACTTCATCGTTGACGACGAGTTCTGTTCCTTACAGTAAAGGTTAGATTTTTGTCATTTTTCCCATTCTACTGCAATAAATTTTACTACCGTTTATTTTTCTTTCTTTTTCTTGCACTCATTTCTCAGTTTGATTAGCATCTGCTTTTATTCACAGATAAGAAGGCAAAATGATTACCAACTTCAACGGTTTTGGCGTAGGCCTTGGTATACCCATGTTTATTTTACAGTTCTTTTTAACATTCTACTAAACTAAATTTCTTGTCTTTGAGCTTTTTTCTGTCAACTTTGTTCTCAGGTTTTGGCGTTGGATGCGGCTTCGGAGTTGGATGGGGTTTTGGGGGTCTGTTTTCTTTAATCGGCTTTCATTTTTTTATGTTTCAGCTTAAATCTTCGTTTTTAATTTCCTAGTGCATAAAAGTTTCTATTCGCTATATGTACCCAACACTGGAATTGGATCATGTGTACCCTCTATTCATGTTATTCGATTCAAGGAAAAGTAGTTATCAATTCTTGTTTTCATCGTTTGCGAGGTTGGACATAGTTTTCCTTTATGTTCTGGTCACTGGAACTAAGAGTCCAACACACTACCAACAGATGACATTGGGGAATTAGGGACTTTTTTTTTGCCTTGATTGTTGATGTCAGTTAAAGATTATAATTTTTCGTGTTGAATATTATAACACTTTAGATTGAATTATTGATGTCTCGTGAGAATTAAGTTCCAGACATGTTCTCTTCATCATCAGTCAGGGTTATTTGTTGTTCATTGCTTCATCTGTTAGTCATATGTTGCTGGAGATACCTTCTGTGATGTTTTAAAATTAGTTCTTTTATTTTGTGTGCCGTTGTTGCTGGTAATTTCATGCTACCAATTGAATCCTGTTAGTTAGACAGTTACAAGGCAAGAATTTGTCAATGCAATGTGACTTTTGTTTCCTGTTTATCATAGATTCTTCTTCTCGTTGCTGGCATGGGTTTATGTCTTATGGTATCTTTTCTTTAATGAGGGGACTGTGACTTCTGGCCTTTTATGTCTGGAATTGGGGTTTTTGACGTATGGTATCTTTAGTGAGAAGATGTGGGATAACTAGTATTTGAACATTTGATGATGAAGGATTATAACTTCGAGTTTCAACAATCTTATGTTAAATAGGATGCTTTTTGGTTGCATTTTCTCTAAACCTTGTAAAATTATCTCTTCTTTTTGTTCCAGATTTTAGATGCATGCTATTCCTTTTAACTTTAGTTTTCTGTAGCTCTACTCATTCCATTGATTCTAAATTATAGATGGCTAAATCATGAACTTTGTAATGTTATAATTAGTGCTATTCATGCTTTATTATATATGTAAATTCTTGCAGCGTATCTTTAAAAATGATCAATACTTTCTCAGTCTATGAATGCGATTGTAATCTTTTTTCTCTTTTTTGTGATTCCATTCTCACCTGCAGGTATGCCTTTAAATATTTTAGGTCTCGGTGCAGGTATTCCTTTAATACTTAACTCTTACAATTCATTCATTAATCCACTCCGCTGATACTAATGAATTACTGTGTATGTGAAGGTGGTGGCTGTGGGGTTGGCTTTGGCCTTGGATGGGGCTTTGGATCTGCCTACGGTAGCCAGTACAGATCATCTAGGGTCACATTCCAAGGCTTAGAATTTGGCAAAGAGGACCCGAGACGGGATGGTGAATTAAAAGAAATACCGAAAAACACCAAGGACAGTCGCTTGTCACAGTAGTTTTATTTTTCCAGTTTGCAGTTGAATTCAGACCTTTAAACCAATTAAATATAAATGTGATATTCTCGTTTATCTTGGTCAAGAATGTTGATAACAATGGAGTTTTGCTGAAACTTAGAACCTAATCTCTTTACTTTATCTCCAAGTTGCTGTTAAATAGTATAACCAAGAGGAGTAATAGAACGTATTTAGTCATTTACATATTCTTACGGTTTTGTTTTGGTGATCAAACTATTTTTTTCTTCAAAATCATAACTAAGTTATATTTTGGTTTCGTTTTGGTTATCTACTATTAAAAAAATTATCGATGTTATCATTGAAAAAAATCAAAAAATGTCATGTCAATAGTTCAATTTATTTTCTAACGACGGATGACTAAAAAGTAACGTTAGATATAATTTTTTAAAAAAATTGAATCACTAAAACGAATAAATATGTGACCAAATACATAATTTACCGTAAAATAAAAAATATCCCAATGAATTGAAAGATGAATACAAAACGGTAATTAGTTCATTTAGTTAGGAATATGTGAAAGGCACAAAACATAGCTTGCAACTTAAGCAACTTGTGGACCTACTTTGCGACATTTACCATCACGGTGTTGGCGCTTAACTATGGTGAATTTCAAGCTAACTACAAGACAGATAAAATGCAGAAAACTCCCACAAGGCTATGCCTCAGCAATTTAAAACGTTAGGGGCACTTTACTACAAGACAGATAAGATCATGTTTTAAATGTTTAACAAACATAAAAACAGATGCAATGCAACTGTCCAATATGTTACGCATTTCTTTACCCTCATGTCATTTCAAGTTCGCAGAATCCCCTAATATAAGTTCTCAAGTCAGACAATAAGAGTTTGATAGTTCGGAAACAAAAGGGTCTAAGTTCGAAATGTATACCAACTAAAAAAATGAGGCAACAGCATTAAACCAGGACAGCTTAAGATAAATTCACACACAACATTTGAATTTATTACAAACATGGGTGCTTCCTTTTTATTTACATGCATAATATACGACAACAATCAAAGGTTATGATTTTAACCACACGATATCGTTTACGAGCAGAATATAGATAAACGACATGATAGATTATTCAATCTAGGTGGATATTTATAATTTGCAAGTGAAATGTAGTCTTGTTCTTCACCAAAGCAAACACAGGAGAATGGCCCCCGTGATCGAGGTCGGGGTAATGCTAGTCAGTCTTTGGCCTGAAATTTCATGATAAATAAAGTTAGATATAATCTAATTCAGTGGGAAAACAAAAGCAACATTCTGATAAAATAAGTATTCAAAAAACTATGTCCTAGATGTTACTCTGATCAATAAAGAAGATAAAATCCTGAACTTGTTTACACTTGAAGTAGTATTTATTCAACAGAGAATCATTGATACTTGATAGTGCTGTTGAGAGCTTCAGCCTCACATTCTTGGAGGCCTGTGGTAATTGCATATACAGCCGGCATTTGATATCTTTTTTTATGTAACTTGAAATGGTTACTTAAATTTTACGAACATGACAAAGAAACATCTTCTCCGACAATGATTGCTGCTAACAGGATGAACTGAGTTGTTTCTGTCGATGACAAAAGCCGGCAACTAGCTTGATCCAGAATAAGAGAAATGTTTTTTATGTTTTTGCACCTCACATAGATGCCTAGGACCTTGCTATTAAGTTCCAGGAGTATGACAGATTAGTTCAAATTCAAAATTTTCAGATACGAAACAGGTCATCCTAGTGTTATTGCCATTTAGGCAATTCAGCTATTGGACCCCCAGAAAAAAAGAGAAGAAAAAAAATGAAATCGGGTATCTTTTCTCAAGTAAGTTCTGCAGAAGAAGGCATCACCCTTTACTCTATTTGGCAGACCAGCCAAAATCGTCTATTACTGGATCTCAGCGGCTCTTCTTCAACGTGTTGAAGAATTATAAATAAAAATATTGTTGAGTTTTTAGCATCTTTTAAGAGAAGATCTAAAAAGTAACCCTCGAAGGCATAATCAAGGTAAAAGAAGTGACCTAAAAGTGTATCGGCCATGTAAATTTGTAGGCCATCCGGTTTTGATCCTTTTTCTACTTAAGAGCTTGATGTTTTACATGTTTTATGACTACAAATCTCAAGACAATTAGATCCACTTGTGGCCTTTGCTTGTCTGATAACATAACATCTTTCATTCCACATAAGTTAGAAAGGGAGGAGGTGAAATGAAAATAATACCTGCATCTCAAAGCTTGTGCTCTCAGTTATGTCACCACCTCCTGAAGTAGATTTCAAATCTGCATTCCTGCAACATAAAATGCAGCGGCTCAGAATTTTTGGTATGATAATAATGACATTAGCGCAAAAGGAAATCGAGGATTGCCAACATCAGACTACCTTTCATGCGTAAAAGTGGCCTGCTTATCTGGAAATGAATTTATATCTGGAGCAATGGAACCAGGAACTCCTTCGTCTGCAGATCGAAAATTTCGCTCTCCCTATACAAAGAATTTCGTCAATATAAAATTTTCCAAGTATTCTCTGCAAAAGAAGTCACCAAATAAATCAAACAAAGCCAGAAAGGGACTCACGTCAGAATTGTCTTCCATCCACCCTGGAACTTTGTCTGAAAGAAGGGTAACATACTGTTCCATAGCTGCCTCTGGATTCATGTTCCCCAGCCTTTGCCAAGCATTCCTTGCACAATGCAGCTGTCAACCCTGTTATTATAACTACCGCTCAAGCTATACCGTGTAATTTGGTATAGACAAGGCTCTAATGTATTTCATACTCCAGTTGTGTTTTCTAAGTAGGACAAAATCTCCCTGTTATAGTGGCCAATCCGAATTCAACCACTATAGAAATTCATTAGATTTGTAACATTCTACATTGACCTAACACTTAGTGTGTTTCAGATAGCTAAATTTGTCAAATGATGACCATGTTATTCTCAACTACATAATGGGAAACAAATGACCAATATAAGCTACCCCATCCTCTAATTTGCTAAATATTACTTGGTGGTTTTACCAAACGATAGAACTTTTATCTTCTCTAACATACTAACAAACATTAATTGTGCTTTAGTCTATTGGGACATTGATCTTTTGTCTTCCACAATGACACCAAGAGAGACATTTAAACCTAAGAAAGTTAAGTGTAACCATCTACATTCAACGCCAACCAAAAAGATAATGCAAACGGAAGAAAAATCAAATCAATGAATAGTGAAATATTAGATACAGGGGAATTTAGATACCATTTGGAGCGAGAAGATGCCATGAAAGCCAGTGGCTGAGGCTCACGACAAGGCCCTTCTGTTGCAATCTTGTGGAGTCCATAAAGTTCCATTTGAAAATCATTACTCATACCCAAATCCCCGTTATGCTCGATGAACTTGGCAGCTGCTCCAAAAACCTTTTCTAATTCACTCCTCTATGCCTTCCCAATCATCATCATTCTCTACTTTCATTTTCTTTTCTTCTTCCCCAAGCACCTTCATTTGACTCTCTTCAGGCTGCACTTTGGTTTGGTTTTCAGCCTCTGTTTCTTCACCGATTTCTTCAATCTTCCTTTCGACAAGAATCTCATCGAGTTTCAACTCAATGACCCCAGCTTGTTCGGCTTCAAGATCATATACATCCTTGGCTGTTTCTTGCATAAAATCAACTTCCTTTCCACTTTCAAAGCCTTCAACTTTCGATCCGGCTTCAAATGATCTACTGCCTTTTCACTACTTTCTTCAACTTTCTTCTTACTTTCAAAACCCTGATCATCAACCCCAGCTTGTTCTGATTCAAAAACATCAACCTTATTATCACCGCTTTCCTTAATCAGATCAACTTTCTTTTCATTGTAAATTCCTGAGCTTTCAATTTGTCGGATAATTCCAACTCTTGCATGATAATCGCATCATCAGCATCAGTCACGGGCTTTCCATCCACCCCAGAAACAGAACCACCAGCCCCAGTAGCCAAAGAAACAATCTTGGCTATCAAGAAGGAAAAAACAAGATCAATAAAAGCTGTCAGAAAAGGCTCCATGATGATTATAGCAAATAAAACGCAAAACCCGAAGACTAAAATGGAAGAAACGATATGATTAATGGGAAATAAAGTGGATTAACGATTAAATGCACTAATATAGATAGGAACTTTTGGAGCAATAAATGTAATATAAAATAGGAAAAAGGAGGGATAGAAGGGAGAGAGCAAAGCATATTCGGCTTTCAGGAGACTGGAGAGTGGGATCGTCTAATGGGGCGGAGGTGGGGCCCTTAAGTAGCTGCCAGTATTAGTTCAGTTACAGAGTCCTTTTTTAGGGTAAATTAGACAAATGTCCCCAACTATACCGTGATATTTTGTTAAATCCCTACTATTAAAAATTAAAAAATAGCAATTTAATTATAAATAATTATTTTATTGAATCATCTAACTATTAAAAATTATAAAATATTATTGACTATTTATTTGTTCCAAACTTATTTTTATGTTAACAATTTGGCGACCATTTAAACTAAACGCTAATTTATTGACTGATATATAATAAAATCTAATACCAAAATTGTTTGAGCTGTATTTTTTTGGATCAACTCTGTTTATATTATGTCGTCGATCTAGTGCTTTAAATATTATGTCGTTGAGTTAGTGCTTGAAATATTATATCGTCGAGCCAGTGCTTGAAAATAACGACGATACTAATAGATAACCCTAAAATATGATTTTATTATATCTTAATCAATAAGTTAAAGTCTAGCTCAAACGATCATCAATTTTTAATGAAAAAGGATAAGTTTAAAATATATGAATAGTCGGGTGACCATTTTGTAACTTTTAATGATACAACAAAACATGATAAACATCGTCTTGTGATTAAAAATCATTTTATAATTTTTAATAGTTAGCAGACTTAATAAAACAGAATCTCATAATTAAACTACTATTTGTGTACTTTACCTTTATTTTATGAGAAAAAGTGTAGTTGAGCCTCCAAAGTTGAGCTGACGTGGAGACAGTTTGCGTTATCTAACAAGTAGATAATTTGTCACCCGAGCAATCTTTAGTGATTATACTTGCGCTTGTTTCAGTTTCCCCCATTCTCATGAGTGGCGCGTGTGAGTACAATAATAATTATTCCTTGCCTCGTGGATTTGTTCCCATTATTTTTTATTAAATTTAAGTTGAAAATGATTTTAGAGTTGGTCCAGTTATAGTTTACACCCTCTTAAAACAATGTTTAAGTTCACACTTGCCTTGGTAAATATTGTTTTTGCCTAACATATCCTCTTATTTATATCATTCTTCACTTCACTTTTCAGATAAATGTGGTCCGTGAAGTAAGTCAGATCTCATCAACATGTACAAAAGAAAGGGAGCTTTGACCCTCTTGCGGTCTTGCCAACCAAAATTTCTGAATTCGAGTAGTTGCATCCGTTGGGTGTGTGTTGTCAATGGATAAGAAAGATTTTGAACATATACTATTTTGTATTCACTCTAGATTATTTAAAAAAAAAGATGACGAATCTTGAGCAAACAACCGAATACACTGATCTCTAAAGCTATGACAAAAAAAAAATCTTAAATCTGGAACAAGATCAATAATACTAACGGGACAACCAAAATAATGAGTCGATGAACAATCATCATTCTTTCCATAATCCTTACCATCCCAAAACAAAATCCATAACACTTCTAGTCACCGATGAGAGCCTTACAATTAACATCTCCATCAATATTATTATAGATTTCAAGATCAACTTGGATTTTAATACAAATATCAATCCCAACATTATCACCAACAAGTGTTTTCCCAAAGCTCTAGATGTTATTAGTTCACCTACCTATAACACAAAATAAGGCAAATTCAAGAACAATTTAATTGGCATGGTGTTGTGGAAACTGGAAAGGATGATGAAAGAACTTCAATCGCTCAAGAGTGATGCCTACAAGAAGAACAAGCGCTCATCAACCATAATGATATGGATTTGTATCGAATCGAAAAAATTAATATTTAATTATATAGTTATTTTAAATCATTCATTCTCGATCCCCAAAATTCATAAATCCTTAAATCCTAAATATCTAAATCCAAATATTGATTGATTGATTTTACTAATTTTTTTAATGATAGTTATGAATCAGACATTTAAAATGATAACATCGAAAATTTTAGACACTTACAATAACAAAAAAATTAAACACCTAAATAAAAAAAACACTCGATTTAAGCATTTTTTTTATATCAAACCTCATATTTATGAGTAATAAAAATTCAAATCTCAAATAGATAATTTCATCAATGGACTTGGACCTTCAGACAGCCAATGGCGTATGGGCGTTTGAAACTAAGTTTTACACTCAAAAGAAGAGCCGAGGAGGTGCCCCATGTTTTACACTTTAAAATAGATGGAAAACGGCAGTTAAAATTCCACTATTATTAAAATTCTGTCTTGAAAAGGGTTAATTGCAACTTAAATTCTTTTAATTTTTAAAACATATATATATATATAAAAGTTGTAATACATGTCGATATCTAGCGTTAGTGGGACAATCGGTAAATGATATTTATTGTAGAATTTTACCTTTCTTGACTATATGGTTGGATTCAAATTAATATAGGAAAGAAATTAGCAAAATAAAACGAGAAAAAGAAAGCCTATATAACAACCTCAGTGTCATTAACCATTTACTGCTTTCATAGTCAGTCCCAAAGCAAAAAACTGTAATAATATCCTCCATGATTATATCGATCAACCTCCATGATTTATCATTGTAGCTGTTAAACTGGGTTTTATCATTCAAGACAAGAAACAAGATTTATCTGTGTCCGAGACAAGGCAAGCAAACGGTGGCACGAAACCGTAAAAATGGAAGTGCATGGCAGTTGGCGCAAAGCACGTGCCTCCACTGCTCGCATTCCACCACATTTGTTATCTCTTTTCTTTTTGCCGGTGCATTTATGTCTCTTCTTTCATTCGTCACCGCAAGCACTTTTCCATTCCTCCCCTGTCACAGCTAATATCAATGGCAATTACTGCCTTCCTCTGTACCCCTACTGCCTACACCCATGAGATGAGATCCCACACAATGAAATTCACATGCTTTCTTTTATTATTCACTTACCCACATTAATGTCTATCAATAGTTAATATCTTTATCTTTCTTTTTTATATATGGCATGGGTCGCTCCTAGGCATTCGTTATCTCCTTTAACGTTTCTGAAATCTGGGGTTTTCAACATCTTTTCTTTCCCTTTTTAATATATTTTGGTGGGAAAATATGCTCTTGGGCTGAGTCGCCGCATATGTAAGAAAACTTTTCAACATTGACATAATGAAGGTTCCTGGGATTTGGGTTTTCTTCTTTGTGCTCGGGACAGCTTTGCTTCTCTTTAGCGTCTCCAACAGCTCCTCCATTCCTAGTAAATCTCTTAACCTTTTCCCTTTTACGTCGATTTCTAATACAATAGATAATTCTTTGTCCTTTAATGGTTGATTGCTGCATTGGAGGATGGTGTGTTATTGCATGTTAGCTTTAGTTGAAGCGTATACTATTTTGACTTGGATTTGGTATACTTTCTTATGCAGTTTGTATTTAAGAGTAATTTCAAGATGAGTCAAGTTTTGATTGTTGAGAAATAAAGTTTGTAAGTTACGAAAAATCCTAAGCATTTGTTGTGATCTTTCTGCGACAGCAGAACATGGCTTGTTGCAATTTACAGAGTGACTGAACGACATCCCCTTTCTTTCCATATTGTTGTATGTCAATAATTTCGGTCAACTGTCTCAAAATCTTGATGATGAATATCTCAAAATATTGTGATTGCAATGTGTAGTTGTTTCAATCAATCTGCCGACAAAAAATTGTTTTCTTACATCCTTTATTATTATTATTTTTTTTTTAGAACAATACATCCTTTATTAGGTTGTTGGCTAAAGGGATAGGGGGATTAATTATTGATTGGTTTATTTCCTACTATTTCATCAAGCTTATAGGCTTTGGTTGGTTCATCTAAAATCATTGCCACTAATTCCATAAGCTTAAATTTCAGCTTGCATGTCAACGCAAATTCATGATATAACTGGTAAAAAAAATGGCTCTTCTTTGCTTAGGTGAAGAAGAATTATTCTTAAAGTTACTGCAGTACATTGGTAAATCTAGTAAAAGAGCAGCAACCATATGCATATCATTTTAGGAATCAATAATTGTATGTATGTTAAAGGCTACCTGCTTCTTGAATCTCATTTCAGATATGGAGTTTTCCAAGAATAGTGATGTTTTGAGTATCACAAGAACAAGTAGGAAGCTGAAGGTATACATTCACTACTTGTCCAAATACAAGTGTTGAACACTTTCTTATATTTTAGTTTGAGACAAATCTTCTTTCGAAATTCCAGGAGAATGGCTACAACCTGAGCAACGAAAAGAGGAGCGAAGTCGATCTAGAAGATTACCGCCATCACATTGATCCAGTTCCGAGCTCAAAGGCATCTATAAAACATGGTCCTATTGAACATGGTACTCCTCTTATGCCATACATACCAAAACCCCCACCTCCAGGCCATCCCTAAACTGATGGTTCCACTTAACCATCATCTCAGAGTCAGTTTTGTTATCTGATGAATCTGTATCAGCATTAAGTTCAGACTATTACTTCAAGTTGTCTATGCATGTAGCAGCTTAAATTAGTGTGTTAATGTGTTCTGTCAAAGAAATAACAACCTTATTTGTGTGCTTTCTAAGTAAGTATTCTCCTTTCTCCCGAGGCATAATTAGCACAACAACATGAGATTATTACCATCAAACTAACTAACAACAAGAAAAAAATAGAAAACAGTGTTGAACAGCTACTAATTGATCCCAACTTGATGCTTGGTCAAAGAAAAACTTGAGATCAAATGTGATCTGTGATAAATTAGTTGTAGTTTTCATTGCTCACAAATTGACATCTGTGCTACTTGTCTGCCATAGCTTGATTTGGTGTCATCTCTTGCTCTTGTGTTGTTACTTTTCACCATAGCTTTGAAAATGAAATATCGTCTCCTTGCTGTAACGATAATGCACCAATGTCCTCATTGAAGGCCCCCCACAAGCTATTCCCTTGTTCTTTTTGTTTGGTTTCTAAATAAAGATTAATAAACAGTCCAATTTGCACTTCAACTACATTTTTACCATCATAATTTTTACTTTGAATGTTGTTGAAACAGTTTCAGGACAAAATCTGCTCTTTTGCTTCATAAATTTATGTATATGCATTTGTCTTTAGTTTGTATTCAGCATTACTGACAGAAAGGGTAGTGTGAGGACTCTATTTGTACTGAATCCAAACCATAGCATGCAGCAATTAAAATATATTGAATGTAATCATTGCATAAAATCATGAACCCCATGTTAGTATTTTTGTATTTCTTGATGTCACTTTCTTCATTATGTAGAACTTTTTACTTATAGTACTATCGTTTTCTTTCTTCCTTGTCGTTTTCATTCTTCCTTGTTCTGCTATTCCATCAATCCTAGGCTATTGAATTATGCACAAGGTAAAAAAAAAAAAAAGTAAAAAGATGATAACTAGTTCAAATGGTAAAATCTTGTGGTAATTTAAAAAATATATATATAGAATTTTATCTCGACTTAGATCTTACCATACATACTAAGATACAGTTGAAAGAACTGGAAATAGAAAACACACCATGAATCATGAAAAATTACCAAAATATGAGTTTTATTTACTATTTCGAGTCCTGTTTAAGCTGCTTTCAAATTTCACTTATAGGTGGAGTCATCGACTGCAAACATCGAGACACAGGAACGGGGTAGGATTGAATTATAAAGGTGTAAACAAAATTGTTTAATTTTAAAATAAATAGTTTAAAATAATAAACCATAAAAATTAAAAGATTATGGGTTTAATTTCATTAATTTTAAAATTTAAAGTTCTTAAAATGTAATTAAACCAGAAAAATTTAAGATCAATGTTTAATTCTATTAATTTCAAAACTGATATTATTTAAAAATAATTATAATTTTTTTAAGAGAGACAATGGTTTAATTGTAATCGTTTTAAATTATCAGTGGTCTAAAAAGTAATTATATCATCAAGGTTGGGGGCCATTGCCTCTTCCACCTATAATATGAGTCCGTTCCAACCGAGACAATCTCCTAATTAATCATGATTGAATATTCACTTGACCTATTAAAAATCTTTTATATTTATATATATATTAAATATTTAAGCATATTTAATTTTATATCTTTCATGTATAATAAAAGATCAGTTATAGATATATACAATTATACAATGACTTCATTGAAAAACTTGTAATAATAAATATAAATAATTTAAAATTTTAATGATCAATTGTTCACTATGACTTCATTAAAAACTTGTAATAATAAATATAAACAATTAAAACTTTTAATTATTAATCGTTGTAGTGACAAGATTGTTGTAAGTTCGTGTCGTATTTTGAAGTTAATTTGTCCTATTCACCCCTTCCCTAATTTTGTAATGAAAACAAAAACTTTAAATAGTGATCATTGTGAAGTTAAATTGTCGATGCATAGAATCAATAAATGGTGGTGTATTATGATAAAAAAGGGTAAACTACAAATTTAGTATCTAAACAATTACTTTTCTCCATTTTGGTACTTAAACTTCATTTATTTTTTTTCAAAACTTTACCAAACGTTTAGTTTAAGTTTCATTTTTGTACCCATCATAAAACAAACTTAACGATGATGTTGACATGTCATCATAAGATAATGACACATCATCATTGAAAAATAAAAAATGTCACGTTAGCAATTTTGTTAATTTTTTAACACGAGAAACCAAATTAAAACATAAACTAAATATCAGGTATGTTTTTAAAAAAAATAAAGTTTTGATACTAAAACTAAATAAAAGTAATAGTTTGAGCACTAAATGTATAGTTTATCTTGAAAAACTAAATGACGGTGTATTACATATAGTTGGGTCACACTCATGTTCTTTTTTAAAGCGATGCCTCAAATGTGGTCCATCAACTATTGCGTCATCAATCTGATTTGTCGGTTCTTCAATTTACTTAAATGGAAACATGTTTTATTTTGGATAATAATTCAAGTTTTAGCATTCAACTGATTCAACGATATTGACACAGGGCTAGACTGTTGGCTAGATGGTCCGTGCGATCCTTAGTCGATTTGCTTGGTTGTTGGGCTCTAAGGCAACCTTAAAACCTAAGTTTGGTTGCTTAACTTGTTGCGAAAGTAAGAACAAAGTGAGATGAACAGAAATAAGAGATGCATAAGAGTATTTGGCTTGAAAACTGGGTTAGTCTTTTTTCAAGAGAAAGAATGAATGAATACAATGGGGGTGGGAAGGCCCCCTTATATAATGAGAATCCCTTAAGAGTTAATGAATAAGTCTACTTCTACTCTAACTAAAAGTACATCCCTACTTTAGTTAAAAGTCTAAAGGTTGAATCCTACTTAAACAAGGATGGTGGTTTTGTTCTTTTTCTTAGAAAGGGTTCGTCTTATCTTGGAGAGGGCGCAAGTCATGGTATGCTCGACCTTATCCAATTCTGGTGCGGGCTTGGCTCATCCATTTGTATGTTTTGGGGCAGACTTGGCTCGTCACCTGATGCGTCTGGGCCTAGGACTGCTTTGGTGCATACGGATGTGCACTGGTGGATGTTGGACTCGTCCTCATGATCGCGGTCCGTGACATTCTCCTCCACTAGTTCTAGCGACGCCCTCATCGCTTGGCTTGAATGAAATTGCTCAATTTTGTCCTTGAATTACCATAGGGCTTCGACAGGTTCCTAGCTCCCCTCGCTTTCTAGAAGCCTATTCCATTGAACAAGGTATTTGTGCCTTGGTTTGTGCCCCACTCAGTGATTGGCTCTTTCAGCGTGGATGGCTTCAGCCTTTTCATAAGAGGATTTTATTCCAACTGGAGCTCGATGTGAAATACTTCGGTTGGGATCATCTTTGTCTGCATGAAAAGGCTGGAGTAGGCTCACGTGTAACACAAGGTGAGCCCTAATGGTTTGTGGCAAGTCTAACTTGTAGGCCATGGTGCATATTCGTTTCTTAATTTTGAATGGTCCTTCGTATCTTCACACCAACCCTTTATGTTTGTCTTGGTTGTGTAAGATGTATTTGGAAATGATTATGTCTCCTTCTTGGAAATTTACGTCCCTTCGATTTTTTTGCCCACTTCTTAATACATTTTCCTGCTTTATGTAGGCAGACTCTGGCTAACTCATGGTTGTCTTTCCATTCCTTGAAAAATTGACAGGCTGATGGATTAGGTCCTTGGTACCCAACTATAACCATGTTGGGTGTAAGTGATTGCTGCCCATTTACAATCTCGAATGGGCTTTGGTTGGTGGCTTCGCTCTTTTGCAAGTTGTAGGAAAATTGTGCCACGTCTATAAGTTTTGGTCAGTCGAGTTGTGTAGAACTTACGTAGTGCCTAAGATAAATTTCTAGGAGGGCATTGACTCTTTCGGTTTGCCCATCGGTTTGTGGGTGTAATGTAGTTGAAAAGTTCAAGCTTTTCCCCATCAATTTGAATAGCTCGGTCCAAAACCTGCTCGTGAATCGAGTGTCTCAGCCTCTGATGATTGTCTTTGGAACACTATAATATTTTACTACATGTTTGAGGAACAAACATGGTGCTTCCTTGGATGGGCATACTTTAGATGCGGAGATGAATGATCTATACTTGGAGAACCTATCAACTACACCATGATGCTTGATATTCCATCCGAGTGTGGGAGTCCGACGATAAAGTCCATTGAGATGCTTTCTCATAGTTGTTCGGGAATGGGCAAAGGTTGTAGCAATCCTGCTGGTTTTCTCATTTCTATCTTATCTTGTTGGTACACAAGGTATGTTTTCACGTAGGCCTCTACATCTTCGTTCATGTACGACCAATAGTAATGTTTATTTAGCAAGGCCATTGTTTGATGGATGCCAGGATGTCCTGCCCACTTGGAATCGTGGCATTTTATAAGGGTTTCTTGTGTAGTTTTCCATACTTGGGCACATAAATGAGGTGCCCACGGACATATAGTAGATCTCTCTCGAGCCAAAATCTTCTAGATTTTCCTTTTTTGGCGTATTTGATCAGTGATTTGGCTTATGGATCATGCGATAGCCCTTCCTTTATGTGTTTTAACATTTGTCCCTTCAGTGTGCTAATGACTTCGATGTTGTACCTTCAGCTTAAGGCATCGGTGAAACAAGTTACTTTTCCTGACTTGTGTTCCATGAGGAAATCAAATTCGGTAAGGAATTCTTGCCAACAGTTTGTGGGATAACTTCTTTTGTGTCAGGAAGTAATTGTTCGTGATGTTATCGGTAAACGCTATGAATTTTGATCCAAGTATATAGTGTCTCCATAGCCGTAAGTAGTGTATTACAACAGTCATCTATTTTTCATGGATTGATTATTTTTTTCATTCTCATTGAGTTTTCGATTTTCATAGGCAATTGGGTGTCCATCTTGCATAAGGAGTTTGAATCTCGAAAGGTTTGCTATAGTTTGGCATGCACAACACTGGCTTGCTCATTAGAATGAGTTTGATCTTGTCAAAGGCCTCTTGGTGTTTTTGTTCCCAAACCCATGGGTTATCTTTATTAAGTAGTTCGATTAAGAGTGTGGCGATCCTAGAGTAGTATTTGACAAATCTTTGATAATAATTGGCTAATCCTAAAAAGGATCTTAGTTCGGTTACCTTGGTTG